CCTGCAGAGTAACTCCTGTATTTTAGGTAGATAAAGCTACATTTTTTAAGTCTCCGATGGAAGAACTTTTGCTCAGTGTACGAGACATATGCAGGGGGTCTGGAGAACCCGATTTACACATGGATCTGAACACTGTGCGCTCTGAACTGCTCGAGCTTCGTCCGATGCGTAGGTAAAAGGCCGACTTCGGTCCGCTTGATGAACTATATCCACTTTATACACATTTTATTGTTGTTGTTGTTGATGATGTCGCTGTCGACGGCGCTGCTGGCGTCTCTGCCACTGCCTACGCATCTTTTGCAATTTCGTTTGAGCCGCCCACGCATTTGGGTTTGCTTAGAAATAAACGGCAAAGCAGCCTACAAATTCAAATTAAAGTTGTATTCGCATTATTCGCTATATTTTGTCACTGCACGGAAAAAAATAATGTGACCTCCTTAGGGTTAGGTGCTAACATAATTAAGATTTGAAAACAAATCCCAAAAGAAACCTCTGAAACTAGAAACAAACCTATAGGGATCTATAGCTTGGGTGATCTTTCACTGTCTAGTTACCTTAAGTTTCTTTTTCCTTGTGCACAGGCCAGTCGAAATCAGCTCTCGTGGGCTTTATGGCCACAGATATATAATACAGTTTAGAGCCAGCCCGCCCGAGTGTCTGCCACATTTGCCACAGCTCCCAGCCGGCATCGAAGTATCCGAGTATCTGGGTATCTGGCCACGCTATCCATCTAAGCCTGGCTATCTGGAACTGTAGCTCTGCTTCCCGCTCCATCTGTATCTCCATCTGTATCTACAGATATATCTCTGCTGTATCTGTATCCGACCATCGGTTAAACCTCTAAAGTGCCATAGATTATTATAACACACGCGCTTTGCGACTGTGCTGCGGTTAGCCGCAAACTCAAAGCCGAAACAGACACTCCGAGCCAAAGGCCCCACACGAGCTATATGGCTCTATGCAACTGGCATGCCCTTACCCCCTCGCCTGCATTATGCATGGCCAAATTGGGGAAAAGCAAAGGGAAAGGGGGCTGGACCCACCCATTGGTAGGAGGAGCACTAGCGCGAATTAAAGAAAAAGGCTGTCAACAAAGCAACGGTAAAGAAAATGAATGAGAGGAAAGCCCACAACGGAAATGGCAATGTAAAAATAAGTTATGCTTGGTGGATGTGGTAAATAATTTTAGCAGTGGGCATGGAGGGGGACAGGCCGTTGGGGGGGTAAACACACCTTAAATAGTTCTATTACCAACTTTGCACTCATTCAACCGCATGCAATACAGTCTATGTATCCACATCTCCTTAAACGAACCACACTCTAACCTATTTAAATCGAATGAGCTGAAGGAATTGCCATATTATTAACCATTTCATTGGCCATAATCGTTTATAGTTAGTTGAATTAATCGAAAGTCTGTTGACAACAAATTTAAAGCCAATAAACTATGCTTTGCTCGCAAAAAATGCACGACTATCAACGGAAATTAGTGAATGGAATTGTAAATGCCACAAAGTCTCGAGAAATATGACAAAAATCATAAAGTTGAAGTGGCCACGCCTTCTTGGTGGGCACATATTTTTCGAAATGTGTGTGGTGTGCGGCTGAAAGTGCTGCCAAAATGCAGTTTAATCACCTCCGGAGCAGACGGCCCACATGGCAAACCCAAAACGCAGCCCACACCAAATATGCACATTAGAGAGCACGTAGAGAAAGAGTGGGTTAAAGGCGGAGCTGGGGCGGCGGTCCCCAGGGGCGGGGGATCCCCATCGATCCAGCAGCGGGCTGCAGATTTAATTACCAGACTGGGAAATGCACAGCGAAAAATGTGTGGCTACTATCTGCTGGGTGGAACTTGGAGTGGGTAAAACCAAAGTTTCTGTCTTTCTAAAGCGGACATGAATTAACAATAAAATTACTTGGCTTTTATTCTGCTGCCTGCTTCTAGGCGCTTTTTAAAAATAGCATATTACAAGAAGTATCTGGCCAGCCTATTTCCATCCAGCATCTGTATCTCTATTTGCATCCATAGATGTCTGTATCTATAAGTGCTGTAGAATGTTGTAATAGTTTGCAACAAAATTTCTTTATGTGCTTTCTTTTCACTGGCATGGCAACAGCCGCAGCGAAAATGAAAGCTCGAGCAAGAGTCGCCAACGTAGCCCCCCGTAGCCCCACGCTCCTCTCTCCATCCTCTCCCGATTTGGGCGGCGACGGCGCTGCCGACGCCAACGCAGCAAGACGCGCGCCGCCAACGTTGAATGAAATTTCATTCATTTCATTCACAAAAATCCACAAAAACGAAGCCAAAAAGGCAATGGACACCAGTCACGCATGCGCGGCTCGCAGTGGATCGGATTGTACATTGTGCATATGTATATATAGCTTGGATGGGGGAACGGGGATGGGGAGGCGGAAGGCGGTCTCCAAGGCGGGGGCATCGCAGAAATTACAGCGAAAAATATGCAGCATGTCTGGGCGTCTCGCAAACGTTGTTGCCCAACCGGAAGTATTAAATTCCAATTATGGCGACAAGATATTTTGCCCGTCTCGAGATCGTTTGTCGCGCTGCCTTTATTGCTTATGAATTTATTCAAATGTAAGAGGGATTCCACGGGGAAGGCACTCAGGATCATCGATCTCCACTAGCTGCCCACCACCTCCATCAACCGCTGGCGGAGTCGCTGACGCACATCGTCGAACTGCGGCAGGGGCACCAGGTTCAATTCCTCGCCAGAGTCCAGCCGATGGTCGTACAACTCCTCGCCATACACATCGTGCCAGTCTGAAAGTGTAATATTTAAAACATATGTTTTTATATAATTAATTATTTAACGATATCCGCTTACCTCTGCTAAAGTTTTGCGCGTGGAACCTCACCCACAAGGTGTACCTATATATATCCGTTCTGAGACTGTAGCCCATGATTTTGATATTCCTGAGCTTGGGCTTGTCGCTGTTTGGATGCTTTGTGGGCAGCATTCCGGGTCTTGGGTACTGGCTGAGGGCCACATGCTCATCCGCTAGGAGAGCATAAAATAAATACGTAATCGATAATATAAACAACTTACCCCTTCCTAGTCCCATTAGTTGATAGTAAAGACTCTTTCCCTCGCCACAGGTCAACTCCTGGGAGCTCTGGCAGTTGGGCAACTTGGGTAATCCCGCCAGGTCCACCAAAGTGGGAAAAACATCCAGAAGTTCTGTGATCCCGTGATAGTATCTGGTTTGGGCCAGAGGGAACTGCGGAGTTCTTATGATCAGCGGAACCCTGAGCGCCACCTCAAAGTTGCTGTACTTGGCCCACTCGGCGTGCTCGCCCAGGGACCAGCCATGATCCCCCAGCACCACCACCACCGTCTCATCCAGATCCAATCCTTTAATCAGCTTGCCAAACAGATCATCCACGTAGGACACCGAGGCGTAGTAGCTCTGTCGTATCTGAGCAGCCTGAAGTGGGGATACCGGTCCGTAGGGAAACGATATATTGGAGTGCTTGAAGTCATCCCTGGCCCGCACATCCGTGTACGGATTCCAGGCTACTGCCGGCATATCCGGCGGCTTCAGGCTGTCCTCCGTGTAGTTGTAAAAGTCGGAAAGGTGGAATCTTGATAGAAATTGCCGTGGGAATCGGAAATTAATGTGTGGCTTGTGGAAACCCATGGCCAGAAAAAATGGTTCCTGGTTGTGCGTGCTCCGTGACTCCACGAAGCGCAGTGCCTCCGCCACGGACTCGATGTCCGGCAGCGTTTTGTACGGCTGAGTTTGCAGCTCCACTGGACAGATGAGATTCTTGCGAAGAATGCCCTCCTTGTCGGGACATACGGGCGAGTTCATAAACTGCTCGGTACGGGGACGAAATGCGGGAGCCGACCAACTTAGTGGATAGTCATCCGTGTTGTTGGAGGAAAGACCAGGATGGAAGACCTTTCCACAGCTATAGGTGTAATATCCGTGCTCCTTGAAGTACTGCGGCAAAGTGGTGAAATTTCCGGTGAAAGTGCGCCAGTAACTGTAGAAATCGTACAGATGCAGAGTATCCGGCCGTCGACCTGTGAGCAGCGAGTTCCGGCTGGGTGCGCACAGCGATTGCTACAGATTGATTATGTATTTTATACATTTATATAAGAATGCCCACAGGATGCCCACCTGACTGTACACTCTTGTAAAGATGTGACTTCCCCTGGCAAAGTTATCCAGATACGGAGTGCTGGCCAGCGGATCGCCATAAGCGCCAATTACTGGACGCAGATCATCGAAGATCACCATCACCACATTCGGTCGTCGTGGCGGAGCAGCTGCGTCCAGCAGCACTGCCATCATCAGCGGGAACAGGAGACGAGCAGTGATCATGTCAACGGCAAAGGAAGCTCACAACTGTTTACTCGAAGATGCCGCGCGGCGGATGTGGATGCCGGCGAGTTTGTTGTGCTACCCCGTGCCCATGAAATTCGTTAAGGGGGTATATCAGCGACGTATACATTTTGTTTGCCAAATTACTGAACATCAAATTCTGCAAAAGATATAACATAATTTTAAATATCTAAAGCATATTTTAGGTATGAACAATTTTTTTTTAACTTTTTTTTATATTTCTGCCATTTGCCATCTTCACTTAAAACACTTCACTTGTTTACTCTTTTTTTTTTTAGGGGAAAAGTCCAAAGAGCATAGAGAACCGAAATCGGACGGGCGGCGCAATTCAAAACCACCATCCATTATATTTCAATTGAATTTGACGGAAGCGCCTCGTCGACGCTTACAGTGCACTTTTTAAAAATACAGTAAAAGTTCTCTAAACAAAAAATGCATCAGCGGCTCCAAATATTAAAAAATTAAGAATCAAGCTAGTTTTATACGAGTTCATATAAAAAAAAATGTAATGAAAATTTTGCAAAGCATTTATTTAAATACATATATATTTTTATATTTTGTTTGGAGTTTAAAACTTATGTTACATAAAAACCTTTTAAAAAGACAAAACACTTTTCCACTGAAAATCATTTTTAACAATTCGAGTTAGGCATATTTTACTGTACATGACCATTCTCCGGAAAGGGGCGCCTGGAATGGAATCGGGGGCTTTCCGTAGTCTGCCATGATTATATTTACACATAATATATAATGATTTATAAGCTAGGGATTAACAATAACCAAAGAATTGGAGCTTTGTGATATAGTCACTGGGTGCACACAGCGAAAGCCTAAATAGGGATCAACATTTGGGGTTTTTATATGGATTATTGCCGAGTAATCCGCCCTAGAAAACAGTTCCGCAGTTGGAACAGCGCTTCTCACGCATGGCCAAGCAACAGAGGATTCCCAGCGGGAAGAAGAAGATGGCGCAGCATAGGCCGCAGGCGGAAAAGGTGTCCTCCAGATATCCAATTCTACAAGCAGGGCATCCGCCAATCACTATGATCTCCGTGGGCATAGCGACCGGAGCAGGCTGAATCACCACGCTAACCGGCGTCGTCTCGAAAGCTCCGTAGGTGGGCATGTGCATGTTTGGTGGCGGGACACTGGGTGCTCCCTGGTGCACGCCCACTATCAACCGGGAATCTGAAATAGATCTGGATTTAATTTGAGGCCTTTAGTGGACTTATTACTTACCCTGCGAGGGACTGTTCATCACTTCTTCGTAGCTTGGGGGCGCGGCGTCTTTGCGGGTATCTGCCATTATGGCCGGAAAGCTTTTTTCCGTGACTCACTGCCTTCTTCTTCTGGGAATAATTTAGGAATTTTTTACTACGCTTAATTGCGTTAACTTTTTCTCCGTGTTTTCTTTGTTTTGCCGCAGTTAGTTATCGTTGCAACAGCTGAGTGCGACTATTCCTATCGATTAGTTATCGTAAATCGGTAATTTGAATTTGAGTCAGGAATTCTACGTTTTAACTGCTTAAAATATATTTATCAATGCAAAAAGGAGGTGCAAGTGCACATTCATATTTTCCTATAAAAACCTATAAGCCAATAACCTATATAACCCTATTTTTTTTATCACACCGGGTAGCTCAGTGCATTCAGAGTTAAACATTCTTCAGGCTTTATTTAAGACAATGTTTACTACTCACTTTAAAGACCTCACTATTTCACTCACTAATATAATTATGACAAAATAATAGATAATTATTTAATTACTTACAGCTCGAGATTAATTTAGTAGCACTTTGTAATACAAAAATAGTGAGTGAAATAGTGAGGTCTTTCTGGCTTGACCAGACAGATTTTAAAAATTGGTTCATCGATACGATATTTTTTTAATATCACGACATCCCTTAAACTTATAGTAGCCATCTATTTGGCTTTGAGTGAGTGAGGATTTCTGCTTGGCCAAAACTTTTTCAAAATCTTGTAGATCAATTTCTGTGGCCTCAAAATCACGCTGAAAAGCCTCGATAGCCGCCTCATTGCAGAGATTACACATATCCGCTCCGGAATACCGGTCGGTACGCGTAGCGATCTCCTCGAGAACCACATTTTTATGGAAGGGCATGCGTTGGAGGTGAAGTTTCAGCAGTGCAAGGCGGGAATCCTTATCTGGGGCTGGTACATGGATGAGCTTATCAAAGCGTCCTGGTCGCAGCAGGGCATCATCGATCATATCCGGACGGTTGGTGGCTGCAACCACAAGTATGTGTTGCTGACTACCAGCGCCCACAATACCATCCATTTCCGTCAAGAGCGTGGAAAGAATCCTCAGCTGAACTTGTCCTCCACCTACGCCACTTGAGACCATCCTTCTGCCAACAAGGGAATCTATAAAATGTAGTGGATTAATTATTTGTATTGCACATAAACCTTCTGAGACCTACCTATCTCATCCAAAAATATTAGACAGGGTGCATTCTTTCGTGCTGTGTCAAAGATTCTCGATATAAATCTTTCCGCACAACCGACGTAGGGAGAGTACACCTCCGCCGCCGACGTTGCAATGAAGGTCATGTCAGCTTCCTTGGCCAGGCACTTGGCTACGGTGGTCTTGGCGCATCCTGGAGGTCCATAGAGCAGCACCCCTTTTGGCAAACTTAGTCCAAACCGGGCAAAAGCGGCACTTTGTCTTAGACCCGATAGAACCGAGACTTGTAAAGTGCGTTTCAGCGCTTCCATTCCTCCGATGACCTCAAAACCAGCCGTCATTTTCGAGACCCGCACATCTGTCGATCGAGAGGCACTGGGTTGAGTGTGTAGCAGCGACTGGTGGAATATTTCCTCTAAACTGAGGTCATCTTTTGTTAGTAGTTGCTGTTGAGCCCGGCGCAAAAGAAGTGTTAGATCTGCTATCACATATCCCTGAGTGTTTCTCGCTATGTGATCGAGTGAAGTCTGTGAGGTTTTCAGCTCGTGGACATGGCACAGCTGCTCTACAAGTTGTCTGCGCTGCTCTTCGCTGGGCATCTCGATGGACACCTCTCGCACAAACCGCCTGCGCGCGTGTTCATGCAAAGAGTCCGGAAATCCAGAAGTTGCCACACATATAATGCCTCGAGGAAGTGCGTCTATCAGTTTGTATAGCTGAGCTGAAATTCGTAGAGAATTGCTTGAGTTTTTTGTATCTGCGACACCCGTTAGGGGGCAGAGCAGCTCCAGATCCTCAATAAGTATCACAATTGGCACTGAAAAGAATATAAAAGTATTAATATTTTCGTGAAGCTTAAACAACGCAGCCAAAGTTACATAATGGACGCAGTTGCTCTTTGAAATTTTCAGCAGCCTGAAAGATCCTTCTCAGTTCCTCTTCGGTTTCGCCGGGATATGAGCGCAGCACCTGACTAGCTGTGATGCAGAAGCAGTTGCAGGTATTACGACTCAGGAACTCATTGAGGAGACGACTTTTTCCACAGCCCACCGGACCCACAACTAATGCTGTAGTAGGGAAACTATGTGAAAATCTGCTATTAGAGCTTTCCAGGAGTTGCTCCAAATGCTCCATGGGCTGCTCAAAGCTGTGCGGCAGATACTTTGAGGTGATATCCACAGAAAAGGGCATTCTCAGTCGTATATCCACCAGGAGTAGTTTAACATCTGGTGCTATTTCAAAGCATTCGTCATCAGCAACTCCTGGAGCATCGAAAATCTCCACACTGGCAATGCCCAACTGCACAAGGTGTCTGTGCTGCACGGAGCATCCTTTGGTAAGCTTCAGGTGACGCAGAAACACTCGAACATCGTCCTCCAGATCCTCTAGGGCAACCAGAGGTCGCTGGAGTAGCTCCTGGGTGACTGTGATCACGCATGAAATCCGCTGCAGGCTGGGAGCTAATTTAAGTGGCTCCACAAGGACCACTCGCTTATTGGTGGGACAGAACCGCGTCAAGGAGGTTACAATTCCATCCAGGAAGCAACAAGTTTCACTGCCGGCACGCGGAGTTACCCAACAAACTGCGTAGCTGCCATCGCAAAGGTGGCATCGACACCATCCTGTTCCAGTAGGATCCTTCCCCAGCGGAATATAACATCTTTGCGGCTCTAGATCACTGTCGTCCAGCAGGGAAAGCGGAAAAGCCGGTAAATCCAACTCGTGGTGCATTTTGTTTACCTCGCTTCGACTACAACGATAACACAACCGATTGCAGTGAATTTCTAGCTATTTCCAGCTACTTTCTTTAGCTGCACAGCTTATCGATACTTGTCCGATAGTCGCGGCCTGCAGACATATAGCCGCACTCTTCTGACGCCATCGCCAATTCGTCGCCGCTGCTGTGACGCAGAATTTGTGTGTAAGCCTCGTAAAATTGGTGTAATTTTGCAATATAAAAGGGTATTGTTGCGGTAAAAGTGGACAAAAAGTGGCGCTAAACCGGTGTCCACACAATTAATGCCAAGAGCAGCCAGTGAGTGTTGAAATACCCGTATTTTACTGACCATTTCTTACCTTGCCAATCGATCGGCTTTTTTCTCTATATTTTTCTTGGTTTGCGTGTGTGCGTGTGCGTGGGTGCTCCATTCATCTGGTTCTCCGATTTCCGATTTCGAAGCAGGTAAACAAACGCTGCCGATGCGCGAGATGGCGGACTTGGATGCTGTGCACCTGGGCCTGGACGAGAACGAGGCGGACATTGCAGAGGAGCTGCAAGATTTTGAGTTCAATACAAGGAGTGAGGCTTCCGAATCGAATGGCGGGGACTCCTCCGACTCGGAGCCCAGTATCAGCTCGGTGAGCACTGCCACATCCTCCCTGGTGGGCAGTGGTAAGCGGAAGACCAAGAAGCCGACCAAGGAAAGCCCTAAACCCGCTGCCGAGACAAAATCCTCAAAGTCTTCCGCCAAGAACAAAGCCAAACGGGAACCCACTCCCGAAGAGCTAAATGGTGGCAAGAAAAAGAAACGCACGGGCACCGAGACCAAGAAAACAAGCTCATCTGAGCCTTCTGATAAGGTCAAGGCCAAATCCCCGGATACCGAGGATCGGCAGCCGCCCGTCAAGAAATCACGCACCAAGAAACCCTCCAACGCCAACGATTCTGGTGGCCACAAAAGTGATCTCAGCGAGGCTGAGGACGAGAAACCAAGTCTTCCAACTTTGGAGTCCGACAGCGAGTCTTCTGACTCGGATTCAGGCACTCAGCACAAGAGAAACGGAGGAAATGGAGGCGGCAACGGCCGGGGAAAACTAAGTTCCAAAAGCTCTACACCGGAAAAGGATTCTGTCGGCGGCGGTACGCATTCACATTCACAAAAGGGCTACGACTACATGACGAAGCTGAACTACCTGTTCCGAGACACACGGTTCTTCCTCATCAAGTCCAACAATAGCGACAACGTCCAGCTGTCTAAGAACAAGAGTGTGTGGGCCACGCTCCCGCAGAACGACGCCAATCTTAACCAGGCATTCAAGGAAGCCAGAAACGTCCTGCTCATCTTCTCGGTGAACGAGAGTGGTATGTTAAAGGAGTAAACAATGTATCTCCTTTCTTAAACTTACTTCCTTTCATTAGAATGCCTCAATGGCAACAAAACCTTTGTTGTAATCCGAATCTGCTTGCAGGTAAATTTGCAGGCTTTGCCCGGATGGCGGCCCCCTCACGGCGGGATATTCCTCAAGTGGCCTGGGTATTGCCGCCTAGTATTTCGCCCAAGGCACTAGGCGGCGTCATCGAGCTTGACTGGATCTGCCGAAAGGAATTGTCTTTCAACGCCACCCTCCACCTGCATAACACCTGGAACGAGGGGAAGCCGGTGAAGATCGGCCGCGACGGCCAAGAGATTGAACCCAAGATCGGCGGCGAGCTGTGTCGTCTCTTCCCGGAAGATGAGCAAATCGAACTCACCCCCATACTCAAGAAATCCAAGGAGACAGCTCGAGTTATGCGAGAAAAAGGCATCCACGTGATTTATAAGCCGCCCAGGAGTCTATCCTCGCGAGGCCATGGAGGAGGAGGTCGTGGCGGAGGCAGAGGAGCGAACCACGACCACTTGGGCCCGATGCGGCACAAGAGGAGCTACCACGGACCACCACACCATCGCCCGTACCGTCACCATCATGGCATGGGCCTTCCGCCGGGCGGTGGCTTTAAGAGAAGCGGTTCTCCCTACCGCCAGATGGGAGGTGCATCAGGAGCACCACCCGGCGGACCGGGCGACATGGCCATACCGTCATGGGAACGCTACATGTCCTCAGCTGCAGCTGCTGAAGCGTATGTGGCGGACTACATGCGCAACATGCACGGCCAACTTCCGCCGTTACCCTTCGTTCCTCCGTTCGCCCAGCTGCCGATGCCAGGAGCTGGAGCGGGAGCAGCTGGAGCCCTTCCACCGGGAGCAACGGCTGCCATGTACGAGCAACTGCCGCCACCGGTGCGGTACTACGATGGACCGGGTGCACCGCCTCTGCCGGATTATCCGCCTCCTCAGCGACCACCACCACCGGGCTTCGACAAGGCGCCGAGCTACGAGGAGTTTGCTGCCTGGAAGAACGCTGGCCTGCCCACAGTGCCACCACCTGGTTTCCCTGTCTACGGCGGCGCAGCCAATGGCGGTAGCAATGGAGCTGGCGGCGTAGCTGCTGCACAGGCAGCGGCTGCGGGCGGCGGCATGGGAGCTGGTGGAGGTGGAGGATCCGGTGGCGGTATGGGTGGACCCGGCGGCTATCGGAATCGGGACGGCAACAACGGCTCCGCGGGCGGTCGTCGACGGGAGTACGGAAATCGCAGCGGTGGCGGCGGATCTTCGCGGGATTCGCGACCGTTTCGCGAGCGTGGCGGCGGCGGCGGCCAGCGAAGCTATCGGGACAACAGGCGCTAGGCCGCATCGAGGTTTAAAACGAGATCGTGCTCCTGGCCTCGCTAGAATCGGAAAGTGTAATCCTAATCCTCTCGCGTGTGAAAATTTAAAGAGAAATATTGAATGCGTTACGGTATAAGCGAAAAGTTAATATGATAAAACCGGCTATCGTCTGAAGTCGATACAACTCTCTTTCCCCTTTCTCTCTGTCCCGCTCACCAAACACCCCCACCACCCACACTAAGATTAAAAAACAAACTTACAACATAAGCAAATTTCAATACAGCAGAGATCTTAATGCTAATTAAATATTTTAAACCACAAAAAAAATACAAAATGAAAGAGAGAAAATGTGAACTTTATTTACCCCAAAACAAAAAGTAGCGAGAGAAAGCGAGAGAAAGAGACTTTAAAGAGACGCCCAACAACAACAACAACCACAACCAACAACAACACCATGAACGAACTTAAGTTAACATGAGAGCAGTGATCAATCAGTGATGTGTGTATCGTGTGTGCCAAACCCCACAAAGCTCCCTTCTCCAAAAGTTCCACCCCAAAAGTTCCAAAAAACGAGAGTTGGACAAAGCAAAAGCAAACCGAAAATCAAAGGGGCACTGTGCCCCCCAAGACTTTCAAAGACCTGAGCGGAGCCTAGCTCCAAAATGGGGGCTATAAGTTATAATCACTGCTACCTAATTTCAAGGACGAGGGTCGGTCCAGTCGCTTCGATCCGATCAAAGCTTCCTTATACGTAGTATAAAACTAATGCAATCATATTTAACAACTACATGTCTTGCCGACAGAAGACCATTTATCCCAGAAACAGACACACATCCGCCTACATTCTGGCCCGGAGTGAAGCGCTCCGGGTCCCTTTTGGCCCAATAGCAATACGAACCGTAGCAATGCGAACTGTTTGGCCCACTAGTTGGGCACCAATCCCCCCATCGATTTCACTCAATGACTGCCACATTTTCACGCTTCACCAGAGCTCAGACCGTCGACAAACACTCAATTACATTCCCGGACAGACCTAGGGGTTTGCTCTTTTTTCTTTGCAGGATCTGGGTTCAACGAGGAAGGAAAACGGACGCAGTTTGGAGCCCCATATATTGCATGAAGATAGTTAGAGAGAAAGACTGATGCCTAATAAAGACACAAGCTGATTGCAAAAACCATAAGAAGTTGTACCTTATTGGGGTGTCATCATAAAAACAAGCAGTTAATCAGGGATCATGGCATTTTACAGGCTGTCTGACAACAACTTTAGGAATTAACTCTTATTTCGCAGTATCTTTTCGAGTTATTTATTTTCGAAATTCGCCAATGACTTCGAACTAAACTAGTTATCTGTTGGTTTGAAGGTTGCGTTCCTGGCAGGTAAAATCAATTTCCATTTGAATTCGGTTCTCCTAATGACAATCCTGGATATACATACACATATTGAGGTGTATAATAACAAATAACAAAACTTTTGACCTCGACATCTAACAAAGATAGGTGTAGGTCGGGAACATTAGCGCATTCTTCGCTGGGAAATTACACGAGATAAGCTCCTAATTACACATTGCTATCGCAGAACCTCATTAAGACTTAAGCTGCAGCGTTTTGCAGGCGCTTAGAAAATAATTTCATGTGCCAATTTGTATTACGTATAATAAGGAAGTCAGGACTAAGATTTTCAAAACCGCAGAATTAATGTACATTATTTTTTGTTTATTAAATGTTCAATATTGCAGCATATAATATATGTACATGTACGTCCTTTTTAGGACGTTTCCACGGATTGATGCTTTAGCATCCTTCGCACCAGCACTTCAGACTGGGGCTGCAGTGGCCACTGGATCGTCCCTCCTCCTTGCACACACGACGGCAGGTGTCGTTGTCCCAGACGGCACAGGGCCCCTTGTATCTGCCGGACAGACAGTCGGCATCGGCCTCGTTTGCTCCCAGGACCACCAGCATCAGGACCGCGAAGAGGGCGAACAAGTACTTGATTTGCATCATATTGGGAAAGGTTCTCACACAGCTTGGTGAACGATTTCTGGTTGAATTATCAGCGACTTATGGCTCGAAAACATCGCGGAGGAGCTTATATAGTGCACCGATCTCTCGGGTTGAGCCGATGCGTAGTCAGCCGGGTATGAACGAAGTAGATCAATAAATAATGATGACGTGCAGTCACACTTAAAAGCGTTCTTTAGGGGAACTACTTGTACGCTTATAGAGATAGCACTATCAAACATAACGTAAACGAGAAGTATTGCTTAAAGCCTCATTTGTATTTCACAAAGTGTGTAGAATATCGAATTCAACTGGACTGCCCAAATACATTAATTAAATAAATCTCGAAAAAGCCCCGAGAAATTACAACGAATCGCAGAGGACAGGAACTGAATAAAAATTGTTTTTATTTGAAAGGTCGTGTTGTAGTGATTCCATATAAAAGCAGAAAGGTTAACAAACAAAATTACAGGCAAGACATACTTTTCGGCTTTTAAAAGTACTCATCTCACTAACGACCAATTAAAATAATAACATATGTACGTATTTTTTTGTATTTTGCTGTTCTTTGACTCTGAGTTCACAACAGTTTAGATTGGTGGCTCCTAAGAATATACATATACATCGGAAAGGAATGGAATAGGTAAAAACCTACTCGTAATAGATTGTAGAAACCCCAGGTTAATCTTGAATTTGGTAAAAAAAACCCAAGTAAAAGCAAACGAAACCAAGATAGAACGCTATATTTGAGTTCCTCGACTATCAAATACCCTTTACATCATTTTTTGGCATATCGATAGAAATTGGAATCTGCATGCTTAATTTACTGAGCACTCGACGCTCATACGGACGGACAGACAGACGAATATGGCTAGATCGACTCGATCCTGAATATAGTGTACCCTTTCAATAGATCCTTTACTGCGTTTTAAGATTGGGATGGAAAGTGTATATACCCTCTGCAAGGGTATACAAATTTCGAGATGCGCTTTAAATAGAGAGCTTTATAATCAACAGTGGGGGGCACATTCACCATTTTGTCCATTGATAATGTGTACTTTTAATTTTGTTTTTAAAGCAACTGCATAAATCCAATTTGTTTTAAGCCCTTTTTTCGTAGCTTGAACTTACTGAAAATCCTTAAACATCTAATAGGTTTTAATAAACATTAAGGATAGCTTGATTTCACAATGTATAGTATTTATTGTTTAAGTTTTTGTTTTACGAATATTAAATTTAATCATACAACGAACAAACTTACAGATACATTTTATAATGCAATTAACACATTGACTTTATATATATAATATTTCGTTTATACTCTCATTTGTCGCTTTAGTTTTAAATCGACACGTTAATGTTTCAACTTTTTCATTTCTTGTCTCGTTTAGTAGTTGGTTTTGTTTTGAAATTTGCTTGCCCTTGGCGAATACAAACGAAATAATCATGCTGTTTATGGAATATACAAAAAACAATTCGGCCTGGTTCATCTGTTGTAACGGTGGCGCTCATTCTTATTGTCCAGGTCTTGAATATGTTCTCACTGTGGCGGGACTTGACTCGACCGGCGCTTGTCCTTGTCCTTCTCCTTCTCCTTGTCGCCCTTGCGTCCGAAGATGCGGAACATGCCGCTGCGGCGTTCCTCCTTGGTTCCTTTGCTGCCCTTCACTCCGGACACGGATGATATCGACTGGGCCTCACTTTCGCTGGAACTCTCTGCCGAAACACGGGAGAAGCTGATGGAGTCGGGCTGCAGGGATACCGGTCGGTTGCTCTCAAAGCGGGTATTTCCCCAACCTGTACAAAATATCAATTATGAGTGGTCGGAAATCTTAAGAAACACGGAGACATCATGCAAATGATAGTGTTTGTAATGTAGCATAACATTAATTAAGGTGCAAAGCCAACAGAATATCGTTCTTCTTAAATTTAAAAATAAAAGTGAGGAAGAGCTCATAAATCAAAGGTTAAATGTGTAAAGCATATAAGACCCATTGAAATACTTTGCAAACTCGTTCGCAGATAGGATCGCCGTGTTATCTTCACTGGCTTAAGAGCTGAAGAACCTTTTCCACAAATATGCATGCATTAAAGATATAGAGAAATAATGTGAGAATCCAAAGAGTTCAGATCAGCCGTGACCAAGGAGCATTCTATGGCAGGCGCTTAGGACTACTAATGTATATATACAGATCGTTAGGATTAATGAGAATCGTCTAACCACCGAGTCCAATTCCAATTGAATCGTTATTGTTATTCAGATGCAGACCCATGTAGCTTGGATTACTGATGGCATGGCTAGGCTCCCCGGAGCCGCCGGTTGATGATGATTTGGTCGATGAGGTGGGCGATGAGGTTAGATGCCACACCGTGCGACTGCTCGAGGTCACTTGGTGTGTGGTGGTGGAGGTGGTGATCATGGTCGTAGACGAATTTCCACCGCCTATCTTCACATTACCGTTGCCATTGCTGCTGGCCCCGCTGCTGGAATAGTTGATGGTGCTCCTCTTAGGACTGCTGCCAGTGCCTCCGTTATTGTTATGCGCCTCCATCTCGATGAACTTCCTCGTAGAGTCGATCCTGCCGGAGGGAATCCTCTGCGGCTGCTGCCTCGCTGTGTTGTTGTTATAGTAATCTGGCTGTTGCTGCTGACTCGCCGCCGCATTGAAGGCATTAATCCTTTGCTGAACCTGCGCCTGATGCTGAGTCTGATGGGAATGGGAGTGCTGGGGATGCTGGCCACCCACCGGTGGCATCGTCGTTGGCAATGGCGGCGGATTATCTAATACATACGGCATTGCGTTGTTGGAGGACAATTTTACAATGTGAGTGTGAAACAATGTGGAGGAGAGGGTGTATGGACAGAGACACAAATGGCTAGCAAATGGGAATACCACCCAGTTTGGAGAACTTACCCGATTGTCTGGCCTCGCTGTTGCGCGTCAACAACGCGTTATCATCCTTGCTGTTCCCATTTTGCTGGACTCCAGTCAAACCGGCGGGCAAAGTGGCGGATTGTTGCAGGTCTTCAATGGATTACATTACATTAAAAATCGAATTAGCTATTGTCTTACAATTCTCCTACCATTGGAACTTTGGCGATTGCGCATCACAACTAGATTCTCCTGGCTTTGGCGATGGCTGGCCACTGGAGGAGCTCCTCTGGGCGGGATTGGTGGCTTCTGGTCGAACCCGGCGGTGGGGGAACTGGGCTGGGACTGCTGCTGTTGTTGTTGCATCTGTCGTTGCAAGAATGCCATTTGGGGTGTGGCTGTTCCGTCAAGGACCTGGTCTCCGCTAGCTCGGCGCTGGGAGTCGGGAGATGAGTTACGGGAACTAACTGGCGATTCTACACTACTGGTGACCTTGATGTCCGGGGAACTGCTTGACTGTTGCTGTTAGGACATAAAGCATTAATTTTAATTCATCGTATGGATATACAATCTTACCTTCATGGACTCGTCGTAGCTAAGCAGTTGCATGTTCGGCGGCAGGCTAGCGTGGAAGGATATCTTGCGCACCCAATCATTTAGGATGTCCAGCGAGGGAGCCTCAAACAGGAATTCCGATCCGTCGGGTAGTTTTAGCCTGAAGACGTACTTCTTTTTCGTGTAATCATCCGCACGTTCGCACTTGGCACCGAGGATATTAACAGGCGCAGTGGCCGTCTTCTGTTGCAGGAAATCGTTTTCGTCCTTGAAGAAGCACACCAACTGGCCACAGAGGACAGTGTGGAATTGCTTCCAGGATCGTACAGGAGCCTTCTTGCCGCCAGATTGCAAGCCATGCTTACGCTCCAGACTGCCCTGAATCTCAACGGGCGGCAGGTCGAAACCTTCACCCTTCTGGTTCTTCCTAAAGGACTGAGCACGTCTCCTCGTGGTAAACGAGGGTGTACGCTTGGCCTGCTTGGGCTGTATCTTCATGCTTTCCGCCCGCTTTACATTGGCATCCGCGGATCCGCGACGCAGTCGGTCACCGAACATTCCGCTGGAGCTGCTCTTCTGCAGAGCCAAGTGCTCATTGTCATCTCCGAATGGAGGCCTCAACTGGGCTTGACCCAATGCGGGGGACTGCGGGCCACTGGTCTGAGCTGGAGTGACCATGGGCGAGGAGAAGATTGGAGTCTTCTCCTGCGACGCCGCATTCTGGCGATGCTCGTGCTGCTTCTCCGCTCGCCTCCTCTCGTCAGCCAGGCGCTGGAGCTCCCGCTGCTTTAGCTGCTCCAGGCGTTCCTTCTCCAAGCGCTCCTTCTCTTGCAACTTGCTGATTTTCTCCTGCTCCAGCTGGTGACGGAATAGCTGCTCAAGCAGGGTTATTCTCTTGATGGCCTGGAATTTCTCCTCCTGGGCGGCCACAGTCTTCTCGAAGTCCTCGTGCCGGCGAAGCAGATCCTCCACCTGTGGAATGGAATCTCCCAGTTTGGTATCCTTGAGTTGGGGCTCGCGACTGCTGATCCATTGCTCCAGGATTTCGGCATCCTTCAAGAACAATTGGGTGTCCAGGTTGAGTTCGTAAATCTCACGACGCTTGCTGAGAGTATGCTTCAGAAGTTCGTGACGCGCATGCAAAACCTTGATCTTGTCCTCCACTTCGTGGGCAAGGAAGTGCTTTTCCTTGATCAATTGCTGACCATTGGCGGCGAACTTGGCAAAGGTTTCGTCTCTGCTGCGAATCTCCGTGTCGTGGTCCTTGGTGCTGGCCAGAAGGAGCTCTGCTCCCGCCACACTGTTGGCCAGTTCAGGGGCAGTGATCTTGGCCAACATCTCGTTGATCCAGGCAATCAGATCGCGGTACTCGTCAAAGTAGGACTGTAGCTGCTCTGCTTGGCTGAGCTTGTTCTTCCTGGCGCCTGTTTTCTCCTTCAGATCCGTCCAGGCCTCGACTGTCTCATCACGTTTGACTTCAATGTGTTCCTTGGCATCTGGGTAGATCTCGCCCAGTTTGGCTGCCTCGGCCAAAACGGAATCAACCTGTCCTTGGATGCCCACCAGCTCGGACTCAAACACTTGGTGCTTTCTGCCCAAGGCCTGAATGCTTTCCAAGTCCTGACCGTAGTCCTCA